GAAATTATAATGATGAGTCCAGACGCATCGTAATGAAGTGAGTAAGACTGAGAAAGGACCCGGAGGCTTACTTGCCATCCAGCTACCACAAGGCCAGAGACTTTTAAATAACATATTTGAAAGTGTGGAGGTAAAGATTTAAAAGAGGTTTTCAAGAAATTCCAATTTCGGACTATTGTAAAATATAAATTTTTGTCTAAAGAAAGAGGTATACTATTTAAACAAATTATTACTTTTTTTTCTTCGCAAATTCAGAGGTAACGGAACTAGGGGGTGCTCTTGCATGCGTTATGGAGTGTCGTAGTTGTGTGGGACCGGAAATGGTGTGCATTCGGTTGGTTGCCTGGTGACCTCGGAGTAGAGCAACATCAAAATGTTAATGCACAATATGTACGATTAAAACACAGGGTGGGTCGGGTACCGAAATGAAAAGGATTTATTTTCCAAATAAAAAAGAATATCTGTATAATCATAATTAGTTGTATATTGCCTGGGTGTTTACCCATAGCCATAAGCACTTATAAAAATTGCAGGGGTATCTATGTACTGGTGGCACTAACGAGCCGTAGGGTACCATCTCTGCACCCTACAATTTACAGCCCCATTGACGCCTAAGTCGAGAAATAGGCCTATGGGTAATTAAAGTTTGTCACGCAAGTTCACATACAAAACCAAGTATATGACCTTTGTTTTTGAAATAGATGGTAAATATGTGCTGTTAATGTTTCATTTCAATTACATTTATTATTATTATTATTATTATTATTATTATTATTATTATTATTATTATTATTATTGTATACTTATATAGCGCATATCAAACTTCTCTAGAACATTAAGCTTATAAAATTAAAGTGTGGTATGTAATATTAGAGTTGCCCCTGCACAAATCCTTAAAACACGTGTTTTGTAGTTTAAAATATTGGGAGTTGTCTTATCCACGGACAAAAGTGAAGAAATACATCAACTTTAGTAGCCCATAAGCTGTTATAATACCTAATTTCATGTCAAATGGAAGTTATACAAGGATAAAAGAACTCAAAGTAGGCCTACTAATTGTCAAAATGACCTTTCATGGAAGACCACTTTTTATGGCAGACCTTTGTTTTTGAAATAGATTGTAAATAATGTACTGTTAAAGTTTCATTGCAATTACATTTAGAACATTAAGTTTATAAAATTAAAGTGTGGTATGAGATATTCGAGTTGCCTCTGCACAAATCATGAGAGCACGCTTTTGTAGTTTAAGATATTAGGGTTGTTTTATATGGCTTATCCATGGACAAAAGTGAAGAAATACATCAACTTTAGTAGCCCATGTGCTGTTACAATACCTAATATCAGGTCAAATGGAAATATTATACAAGGATAAAAGAATTCAAAGTACCAAGTAAGAAAATGACCTTTCATACAAGACCACTTTTTGAACTAAAATTAACCAGATGTTTTAA